GCTTTGGTGACCTGCTGGGCTTTGTAAGCTCATTATATGTGGTTTAAATTTTCAGGTCCGAGCAAGGCAACTGGAATGGAGTTCGATCAGAATGTCAGACGAATCCTTTCACTATTTGATTCTGGGGCGTCACAAAAAGTACCCCTCAAACTTAAGGGAAAATTCTATAAGATGGTGGTGAGGCCTGCAATGCTTTATGGTGCCAAATGTTGGCAATTAAAAGAGAAGCATAATACTAAGTTAAGTGTGGCAGAGATGAGGATGCTCAGGTGGATGAGTGGCTTTATCCTTAGAGATAGAATACGAAATGAGCATATACGTGAAAAGATTGGAGTAGCTCCAGTAGAATATAAGATTAGAGAGAGTCGCCTTAGATGGTTTGGTCACATAAAACAGTAGCCTCCCGATGACCCGGTTAGGAGAGTAGATGCATTAAATTTGACTTATGTTAAGAAAGATAGAGGCAGGCCTAAAAAAGACTTGGTTAGAAAATATTAAAAATGACCTTTCTTTATTAGAATTAAACGAGAATTTGACTTTTAATATGACACAATGGAAAAAAAAATGATTCATGTAGCCGACCCCACGTAGTAGGATAAAGGCTTGATGATGTTATTGTTGCTAAATTTTTGTCATATGCTCATTGTCGTTCAACCAACATCACTCGACTATTGTTATCACTCATTTACAGTTAAGGCTATAAACGAGTTGAGCCAAGCTCAACCCTCTCCCAATATAAGCTTGATTAACTAATCGAGTTCAAGCATGATCTAATCAAATTCAGGCTTAATTATGTGAGTTCAAATCAACACATCATACATGAGAGAACCATTTTATTTGGTAGACCCTCTTATTGTTCTCCTTTTTGAGTTTACATATAAGAAATCATAAGTCTCCTATGAATTGCTCTTAACTTATCTTATTTTTGTATGTGCATGTTGCCAATATGACCAAAAAAAATTAACTATTATAAATTTAATAATATACAAATTTAAATTGTGGCATTAATGGATTGATAGCTATATGTTTGATACTTTATCTTGTTTTTATGTGACAACAAAATTAATTTAATAAAATTAAGCTTTGTTTAATATCAATCAGGCTTCGTTTGGGATGACTTTCTTATTATTTTTTAAAATATTTTTTCAGTAAAAAAAATTATACTAAAAAATTGCTTTAAAAAATAGTGAGAAATCAATTTCAAACATAGCTTTAGGTTTCATTTGGGACGGCTTTCTTATTGCTTCTTAAAGCAGATTTTTAATACCAAAATTAAAATTTTTATACTAAAAAACTGCTTTAAAAAATGATAAGAAAGCCGTCCCAAACAAAATCAAGCTCTATTGAAGGTTACTTTGCTTTTTTTGGTGTACTTTTCTGTGGATCTTACGTGAAATTTTAATTTTCATGATAAAATTAATTATTCCTGCGAACAAATTAAACTATAGCAGCGTATAAATTTTATTTTTCTCAAAATATGATCGGTAATGATTTTTTGTTTTTGAAAAAAATATTCATTATTTGTTTAAAGGTGGAGACAAATAAGAAAATTGTCTTATGAATTGTCGTTTGGTCATGAAATTATATGCATAATGTAATGCTAAACGGTTCAAATATAAATTATTTTAAATATTAAATTGGTATATTTAAAACTTTTTATGAACAATCTATTATTTCTAGATAATCAGTATTTTCTGAGGATAAACTTAATTGAAATTATATTATTTCTTGACAAAAAATTATGATGGTAGAATATTTAATATTTTAATTTTATACAAAGATATAATATACACATATAAAAGTTGTAGGACTAACAAAATATCTTTTACGTGAAAAGTCCATAAAAGAAAAATCACATATGAAGAAAATAAGATTATATAATTTATAATAATTGTCTAATTTTTGTTATAGGAATTACAAAGTTAGGTGTCTATAGATTGATATTTGAAGTCTAATAATAAAGTTGAATGGTAGTTTCACGGTCCAAACCATAAAAAGCGATTCGTCGATTTCACGGTCCAACCAGTTCAACTCAGGTCGAAACGGTTGAACCAACCGGTCCGGTCTGATTTTGAAAATATTGGATAAAAGGAGCAGGGAGGCAATGTTACTACATGTCAAGCTATTTTGTTTGAAATCAATAGGACAAAGTTAGGTGTCTATAGATTGATATTTGAAATCCAATAATAAAGTTGAATGGTAGTTTCACGGTCCAAACCAGAAAAAGCGGTTCGCCGGTTTCACGGTCCAACCAGTTCAACTCAGGTCAAACTGGTTCACGGTTGAACCAGCCAGTCCGATCTGATTTAAAAATATTGGATAAAAGGAGTAGGAAGGCAATGTTATTACATGTCTAGCTATTTTGTTTGAAATCAATAGGACAAAGTTAGGTGTCTATAGATTGATATTTGAAGTCCAATAATAAAGTTGAATGGTAGTTTCACGGTCCAAACCAGAAAAAGCGGTTCGTCGGTTTCACGGTCCAACCAGTTCAACCTGAACTGGTTGAACTGGTTCACGGTTGAACCAGCCGGTCTGGTCCGATTTTGAAAATATTGGATAAAAGGAGTAGGGAGGCAATGTTATTACATGTCAAGCAATTTTGATTGAAATCAATAAGACAAAGACCTCAAAATTGACTATCACCACATGGACAATCCTTTTGATGATGTGGCATACTAAAAAAATGAGCACAAAAATTATTGATACCATACTTTTGTAGGCAAACCAAATAAAGTTTGGAGAGAATATCGTCCACTTTTGTTTGGAAAAAAAATTGTTCACCTGATCAATTACCTATGTGAAGAGAGTTCTTATATAGAAGTTTTAAAAGTATTATTGATTAGAGGGCATTGGCATATGGCTTGGGATCCTAAATCATAGAACTTAGAAGTAATGACTCACTTTTATCATGTTAGTGCTTTAAATCAATTAACTTAAAAGCTTATAATTTTTTTTATCTAAGATATTAATTGATACGTCATAAAAATCTCCTTGGTAGGATGCGGATCTCGAGGTATATTTAAGTTGGAAATTTTTGAAATTAAATTTGGGATCATCCAAACTTATAGTCAAATTGAATTTCTCAATAACATCAAAATCAGTCTTATTCGAGCCCAAATGTATCCAAATTAAGGGACCGAAACACATTTGAAGTTTCAAAATAAAAACTTGATGATGAAATGATATTCAAATATAGTATGCTTATAGCCGAATTGAGCGGCTCGAAGGGACAAATCCAACGATCCCAACAATGCTTAATTATGACATCATTCGGACACATAAATGCTTGACAAACACTTTATGAATGAGGGGACCAATATGGGTGGTCCAATGGAGCGCTTAGAATTTGACCCAAATCTTCTTCATATTTACGGCCATACCACTCATAAAAATTTATAAATAGACATACACTTACCACATGAAAAGGGACTTGTACCTTTGCAAGCTTTGACCCTCTAGTTAGAGATTGGAGAGAGTTATAAGTCTTCAAGGACCCAAGAGTTCTACTAGAGCACCACCGCCGGTGAACTTATGTCGACCATCACTAGACTACCGCCTGGCTGTCAATTGTCATCGAACTTTTGCCTGAGAACCTTCTGTCGTCAAACCTTCGCACAGCCGCCAACCGTCATCGAACCAATGCTCATCCAAAAACCATTGTTGGACCATCGCCCATCCACCGATTGCCTCTAGACTTCCGCCCGGCCACCATCGCCAGCCGGCCACAGTTCCTCTGCCCTCCATCACCTGCCGACTATGATTGTACCAACCTCTATCGCTCATCGACTACGATCGCATCAACCTTCGTCGTCCACCGACTATGGTCCCTCCGACCTCCTTCGCTCACAAACTACGTCCCCCTTCAATCTCATTTGCATACTAACAACGGTCCATCTGACCTCCTTAGTCCGCCAACTACCATTTCCTCTAACCTCCATCACCTGCAAGACACAGCTCTCAGACCTCCATCACCTGCAGACCACGGCCCCTCAAATCACCATTTCCTCTGACCACTGTTGCCCACCGATGATTGTCCCATCGACCACCATCGCCAACAAACTACGTTCTCATCGACTATCGTCACTCAACTATGATTTTATCGATTGAACGAACATACCAACACTCGTGGGAACAACTATCATATCATTAGATTCTTCCCTACTCCCACTAATAATGTGATATGTACAATATATATTTGTTACATCAAGCCAAGACCTTCCCCCAAAGGAAGAGCTTCATTTATAATCAACAATAAATATTAGTATAATCATTTTAACTAGACCATACCTCGTGCTTTTTTTTTTTTTTGGATTTTCTACGTAAAAATCATGGTGTCTCTTATGACTCTTGCACCCCTCTCTTTTATTTGTCTGTGCTAGATTTTTTTTCAAAGCCAAGACATTAAGCTTTCTCTCTATCACTATAAATGTTCCAGAATGCAACATTAATGTTTAAATATAGTGTGATGGTAATGATCTTTGACAAAATCTTTGATGATATTTAATTTTTTATTTGATTAATTTTAATAAATATGGACATTAATTTAATTGATATAAGATTTGTTTTTCTAATTAAAAATTGACTTATAAAATTGATATTAAAATGAGAGAGACAATTTTCACCATCCAATAACCTCACTTTTAGTTATTATTATAAAATTAATATTAAATTTATGAACGAGTGAATTAGTAAATTATTCATTAAGGACCGGCCCAAACTGAAGTTAAAGAGGGCCAAGAGGCATTATCTAGTGGCGGAGCCTAGAATATTTGGTATTCTACCCAATCACAACTCGCCGCGTGGAACGAATGCTACAGTCTAGCCAGTTCCGGCGGAGCACCGGCTCGAGGCCGGCTTTTTTTTTTCTTTTGCAGGCAAATTGGGACGGGAGACCGTCGTGGTGGGGCCCATCACGCTGCCTATTTTGACCCAGCCTCTTAAAAATACAAATTATTATGTTATATATATTTTTTAATTTATATAGATAACCTGAACCGTCTCTTTTCCTTTCGCAACCATTGAAAGTTGAAAGTTGAAACCCTAAAAATAAAGAAATCTCTCGTCGTCGCCAGAAAGAATCCTTACCGATCCGTCGTCTCCATCCCTCGATCCCATCGTGCAAAGTTCAGATCCGTTTTTTTGCCTCTTCTTCCTCTTGTTTTCTACGGCGATTTGACTCCTTCCGCCGGGGGTCAATTTCTAGGGTTTCGCTTGGATCTGTGGTTGTAGCGTGCATGTCTGAGAGATGTCTATGACGCCGAAGAATGAAAATGTTCAGATCCGGGAGGTGTGGGAAGAAAACTTGGAGCAGGAATTTGCACTTATCAGGGAGGTTGTAGATTACTTTCCTTTTGTCGCCATGGACACGGAGTTTCCCGGGATCGTGTGCCGCAAGGTGGGGAACTTCAAGTCAACTTCCGATTTCAACTACGCGACGCTTAAGGCTAACGTTGATATGCTGAACCTGATCCAACTGGGCCTCACCTTGTCCGATGAGCACGGAAACCTCCCGACCTGCAACACTGACATTGGCTGCGTCTGGCAGTTTAACTTTCGTGAGTTTGACGTCCAGAGCGACGTCTACGCCGCCGACTCCATCGAGCTCCTTCGCCAGAGCGGGATTGACTTCAAGAAGAACAGAGAGTGTGGCGTTGACACCCTTCACTTTGCCGAGCTTATCATGTCCTCTGGTATCGTTCTGAACGCGGACATCCAGTGGATTACCTTTCACAGTGGCTATGACTTCGGCTATCTTCTCAAGTTGCTCACTTGCAAAAAGCTACCTGATACGCAGACTGGATTTTTTAACCTCATCAAGACCTACTTCCCGACACTTTACGACATTAAGCACCTGATGAAGTACTGCAACAGCCTCCATGGTGGGCTCAATAAGCTTGCAGAGCTGCTCGGCGTGCAGAGGTTTGGGATCAGTCACCAGGCTGGATCCGATAGTCTCCTCACCTCCTGCGCCTTCAGGAAGCTTAGTGAATCTTATTTCAATGGATCAATGGAGAGATATGCTGGTGTGTTGTATGGCCTTGGTGTTGAGAGTGGACAGAATAATGCTACTCATTGAGAAAAAAAGTTTAATAAAAAACTTAATAAAAAAATAAGATTTGAATTGGAAAATTTCGTGTCTCGCCATCTACCATTTTTGTGTTTTTGTAATGTTAATTTTGCTGCTGCATTTTTTTTTTTTTTTCATTTGAGTATTTTGCATATAGAGGTTTATTAGTAGATGTTAAAGTTTTCTTCCTCTTGCTATACTTTATTGGTCAATTGGCATATGCAGCTAGTGGGTTCAGCAGTTTTTCTTTTTGAATGTTATCTTCTTTGCTGCTTTGATTTATGCTGATATCATTTCTTTCTCGGTTGCACCTAGCATTCGGATTCTTTCATGATATTTATTTTCAAGTCAGTTTTTTTCATGATATTTTCAACTGGATATAAAAGGTTTGAACATTTATGGTGTTGTTTGGCTACTAGGATATGCTAAATTTCTGTAAATCCAGATTTAGTAAAGCTTGAGATTATCAAATTTGAAATTTTGTTTGCATATTTGTTTCAAGATTAAAATTTGTGTGAGGAGAAATCCTTGAAATTGTTAAATCCTGTAGATGGAGGGATAATAAATCCTAGATTTAACTAAGAATGGGGATGAATCGAGATTTATCAAAATAGTAGGATCTCTCTCCCTCTCTCTCTCTCTCTCTCTCTCTCTCTCTCTCTCTCTCTCTCTCTCTCTCTCTCTCTTTCTCTCTCTCTCATATATATATATATATATGACACCTCAAATGTTAGTGGGGTTTCAAGTTCTATGTTCTCTCTTTCTCAGAGGCAAATAAGATGCTTCAATTGTGTGGTTGATCCGTTGATGAGTGACACTTTACTTTTACACACTTGAGATTTCACATTCAGTCTCATAGTTATGAAAACTTATGCATATTTCTATGATCATGTGTGACTGTTCATACTGATTTTGTTTTTCCAGTGCTGCAATCTCTCTTGAAGTTAGGCTCATATGGTCGAATTTGTGGAATTTAAATATAAATAAGGTAGTTTCTGTGGAAAATATTCAGTGTAAAGAGTTTATTTCTCTTATTTAACTATTGAAATACTATGATAGTATTGTAAGTTTTATCTTTGATTTAACAATATGGTTACCAAAAAGAAGTTTTGTTTGTTTCCTTAAGATTGTATTAACCCAGAGGTAATTGCTCAACTAATCTCATATTACAAAGTGCAGCCCACTTGTACTATTTCTCAGATTGAACTATTGAAGCACTGTAGTAGTAGCCTAAGGCCTCGTTTGGCTCCCACCGACTTTTTTTTTCGGTTTTAAACGGAGGTGTTAGAACGGAGAAGCAGATTTTTTATCCTTCTCAAATCGGCGAAAAAAGGGCGGTGTGGCAAACGATAGTTTTAAAATGCCGCCTAAACAAACAGTTAAATTATAAAATTTTCACCGATCCAAACTGAAAACGGCGAAATTACGGTAAATCAAACGGGCCCTAAGTCTTAGCTTTGTTTTAACAGTAGTTACACCAAAGAAGTTCTCACCGTTTCGTTTGGATGTTATTAACCCAGAGGCACTTGCTTATCTCCTATTACAAATTGCAGCAAACTTGCATTGATTGAATTGTTTGAACTTAGAAGTGAAGATCAGTGACTAAAAGGTTTAACACTAAGAAAGAAATGTTGATCGTTTTTCAGTCTAAGATACGTTGAACTAGTCAGTTTGGGAGAAGCAGGCTTTCCATTTTAGCAACCATTACAAGAGGTAACTATTCATGCACTGATGTATTTTGGAGGCTTGTGTATTTTTCTTGTTTCTAAAACCATCATTTGTGATAAAAAAATGTTTTTTTTTCTATCTTGCAAGGATTTGTTTTTGTGGTTCATTCATCTGAATTCTTATAGAAGCCCATAACGGGAACTTGACGAGTCCTTTGTTAGCAGGCATATTTGTTTTTGTTTTCATTTTGTGCTTTCATCCTCAATGCTTTTTTCATCTCATGTGATCATGTATATTTGTTTAGATTCTACATTCCACCCAAAGTTTTTTGAACAAAATACACTTCTATCTTCCCCTTTCACTGCCATGGTAGGTTTTCCACATTCATGAATTCGAAACTTCACTCTACATTTTAGCCAATTTTTTTTTCTCTTTGATGCATTTGCTTTACATGCAAAATCTTTGTAGGTGATATTAGTGTATATCCTTTTTGTTTGGGGAGGTTAGCCATTAGTAACTCCTAGCTTTTGATAATTTAGGCTGCAACCAGGTACAATTGCACTAGAAAATTTATGGATATATATTGTGTAATTAAAAAATGTGTTTATTGGTATTTATGGAATAAAATTAGATTGAAATCATGGCTTTTTTTGTTTCAGCTACTACAACATGCATTGCTGGAAGCTCTATTCTAATGGTCTAATAGTTTACTGTCTGCAATGAATGTGAGTTTGATTTGCCCTTTGAATTAACCTTTATTGCAACAGATATCAATTGATATTGAAGAATAATATTTTACTGCTCTTGTAATGATCCATTCTACTGTAATTAACATTTTAAAGTACTTTTGGTAGCTAGTAATATTGTTCAAAGCAGTACTGCTTTTGAAATTTTTGTAGTTTCACAACATTTGGCTCACAAGTAACCTCTGTTCCATTAGTTTCTGTTTTTTCCATGTAAATTAACTAGAAAAGCTCTCTTGATTGAACTGTTATTATAAGGCAGCAACTGTGTTACTCTGGTTTCCCTAAACTTTTGGCTTTTTGCAGAGATAAGATAGAGAGAGCCGTCTTAGATGATTTTGTCATATAAAATGACGGCCTTCCGACTCGGTTAGGAAAGTAGATGTATTAGATTTGACTTGCGTTAAGAAAGATAAAGATAGATCTAAAAGACTTGATTAGAACGTATTAGAAATGATCTTTTTCTTATTAGATTTAATGAGAATTTAATTTTTAACAGAGCACAATGGAGAAAAAAAATTCATTTAGTCGACTATGTTGTTGTTGTTGTTGTTGGGATGATTGCTGACATTTTCTCAGTTGTAATAAAAAATATTTTAATTTCTAGTGAACAAAACATTAGTATTTTGATTTTGATTAATGGTCCATTTGGTTGCTTGGAGTTAGAAAACACACCTATATTAATTTTTTTCTCTAAATTTCGTCATTTAGTTGACTGTAGTTTGAAGTTAATATTAATTTTAATTTCTAGTGGACCATCTGCATTGCGGTTTGAAACAGGGGTATTTATCCACTGTCATTTTCTGAGGCACTTGCTAGCATAACTAATACCTCGGTGAGCCTACCAGCAATTAGCCCTACAGGTGCAAGACCCACAGTTATTTTTCTTTCCACTTAAGTAGTCGTGCTGCATGAGAGGTGATTCGAATATGGGTTGGGGGTTTTCAATCATGCTCGCCCACCAATCCAGCTAAATCCGGTGGGATAATTCTGCAGTAGAACGAAGTAACACCCAACAATATCTCATTATTTTGCTTTTTAGCTTGTTTTTGATGATTAACACTGCACTCGAAATGAAGAATCATTCAATAGAGGGGCCTAATGTCCTTTCGGTTCATTGATGATGGAGCTGCTCATCAATTTTCATAAAAATGTATCAAAACTAGCAAAGAGATTTGTAAATACTTAGAACACTAGATGCCAATGCTGTCTTTAGAGAGTACTAAAGAATTCACACATTAGCAAATTGATCATGTTTAGTCTCTCTCATGGTTAAGGGTTTACAAGATAATTTGTTGACTCCTTACAAACAGAGAGAAAGGGTGTGTCAGGGTAAGTCAAGACTCTTTCTGTTCGGATTCGCATGTAATAATTTCTCCGTCTATATGTGCCTACTCTCTTATTATAATATTTAAAATTAAATCAAGTAGTTTAAAATATGATGAGTCGAGTGCTAATCAAAATGTATTACATCAGCAGTATCGAGTCGAGTGCTAATCAGAAGGTAATGTGATGCATTTTGATTAGTCTCCGAATTACGTATGCACAGAATAATTTTAGATTGATTAGGCCAAATGTTTCGATCAACAAGGTAAGCCTTTTGACCGAAGGAATATCAATGATTTCTCTTTTGAAGGAGAAGGAAAAATGGAATATCAATAATTGCATTAACGTTGGCAAATACGAAAGTATGACAGAGATTTCCCAGGGGGAAAGTATGACAGTGATCATGCAAGAAACATTATAAATTGCACAAAACAGAAGAGAACAAAAAAAAAAAACTAAGGGAAGGAATTGTTCTTCCATGGAGGAAGAGAGCAATCGTCGTCGTCGCTCCAGCGAGCAGCTCTCATGGCGGGGTACTCTCTTGACACAGGCCGCGCTCTGCCTTGCCCTTTACGGCGCCTTCAGCATTGGAACGCCGCAGCAGTCGCGGAAACCTGGGTTAATGAGCGGAAGAACGAGGAGAAGGGAGTTAATGGATTTTTACTTTCTCAGCGTTCGAGGAGGGTTTTGGCCCGCCGATGAGAAATCCCAGCTTTTACAACAGGTTTGCGGTTCTCTTCTCGCTTGCCCTGGTTTTGAGATGTGTCGGCGTTTTCTACAGTTGATTTGTGCTTCTTTTTTCTAATTTAGGTTTGGGTTTTAATCTGCTATTTTTTTTTTTGGCATCTTCTTACATTTTAAGAAAGGATTGATTCGTTTTATATATGACATGACTGGAAAGAAAAGATGTTCGTATTCTTCACTTTGTTGCAAGCGGGATGTAGAGCCGGTAGGGTGAGTTTGATATCGATTGACATGGCGCCATTTTTAATCTCGCAGACACAATTAGTTTTGTAAAATAAATAGCACGTCACCTTTTACATAAAAAAAGTCTTTGGAGGGGAGAATCCGCGGGATCTTGCCCAGTCAGAATAGGTTTCACTATTTCTAAAAAAATTGTTACAAAGTGGCCCGCCTCTACGCAAGTCCTTCCATAAGCTATTGTATGCCGAAATAAGAGTGGATTGCCTATTTGATAATTACTCGAAATAAAATTTACTGTGGTTAGAATTTTTTGGTTGTTGGTTCAAGAAAATGATTGCGGCATGATCCTTCAACATAATTCAACCTGCTAACTTCTAAAAATTATTTTAATATAATCCTTCAACATAATCCATCCAAAATTGTTTCAGAACATTTTGCTCTCATGCTTTAGTATTCCCAAAGCTGTTTGGCTGAAAAATCGAGACTTACTTGGCAGAAAATTCATCTAGCTTGGATCAATTATGTGGTGCCCCAGAATCTAAATGGGAAGATTTATTCTTTTATCTTTTGAGAAACAATATCAAAGCTATCTAACTTTATTTATCAGAAATAAACAACAAAACAATTCTAGAATTCAAAGCATCTATATGTACATCTATTTCCATTTCTAAAAAAAATTATATATACTACTCACTATCCATATAAGCATACTACTACTATTCTATCATGAGTACACAAGAATAACTAAAAAATAAATAAAACCTGAGAAATCCTGATCTGATCAATCTAACACACTTGATCCTCTACCATGATCTGAAAATATTTAACCACATATAATGAGCTCAAAATACGGGCTATTACAATCTATCCACCTTAAAAAAAATGTCATCCTCAATATTTTCCTTAAGGATTTGAGCACAAAATTAATATAAACCAAATTCATATTATTAAAAATCAAATCAAATTAAACTCAAATCAAAACTTATAAAAAATCATACAGCCTAAAGTTGCTACACTTGGAAGAAAGATACAGGTGGAGTGACACTTGCGGAGAGAAGAAGAGATTAGAAGCCAAGACGAAAGGTTGGAAAGAGCTCGCAAGATTTTCGGAGGGGATGAGAAAGAAGACGGACAAAGCTCGCAAGCTTATCCAAGCAAACCAACAGGTTATAGCTTTTCCAAAAATAACATTTCATTCAACTATTTTAAAATATACAAATCCCCCATATATATAGGTATGAAAGGGAATATCAAAAGACACATAACATTAATTTGCAAAAGAACCTAAGCACGGAAATCCCTCCCATGCATCACGGAAAATAGCCCAAGCCTAGGAACCGAAGCAGCAGCCGCGGGAGACAAGGAGGCCGCACGGAACCAAGGAGCCACAGCCACGGGAAACCACCCAGGCTCGGAAAACCAGCAGCCGGCCGGAAATCCAAGGGGCAAAGGCACAACAAATAAAAGCCCATGGTGGAATTCAAAGAGCCACCGAATGGGAAAATGAAACAACATCTTGGAATTCCAAAAGCCGCTTTGGAATTTCAAGATACTAACATAATTAAAAACATATAATAATAAAAACTATAACATTTAATAAAAGATAAATATGAACTAAAATGTTAGCTAATAATGAGCTAACCCTTAGTTCAATAAATGAACTAAAGACCAACTCATAAATGAGCTAAAATTTCAGCTCAAATTGATTGAACTTGTAAACTTGGGGGAAGCCAAAATTGATTTATTTTGGACATGAGTTGACCCCCCCCCCCCCCTTGTCTACATCAATATTCCATTTGTAAAGATGTCAGCAACGTGGTTAACCGAAGCAATGAAATAATACGACGGAGTGAAAAAATGTGTCTAACTAACAAGTAGACAAAAAAAAAGTTTCAATAAGGATTATTGTTGATGTAGCCAGGCTATAAAGCTTATGATAGTTACATGAAGAGGAGTAGGCATATGATACATCATCAAAAAATTATCTTGATCATGCACGAATCTTGAGGCAAAATCAAGTTGGAAGCTTCAAAAATTAAAATTAAGATCATCCGAACTCTGATTCCAACAAACTTGTAGTCAAACTGAGCGTCTTGGAAACACGAACCCAATTGACCCAATCCGAGCCCAAATGAGTCCAAAGCAAAGTCTCGGAGCACTTTTAGAAGGATCAAACCATAATTTGGGTTACCAACGGTCTCCAATCGTGACATGCTTATTGTCGAATCGAGCGCCTCGATAAGACGAATCCAACAAGCCCAAGATCATCAAATTCTGATATCATTAAGACAGTCAAAGGTCCATTAAATGGTGCATGATCGTAGGAATCAAGATCGACCGTCCATCCAGACCACTCCCAATTTACCCTTGATCTTCCACTTATTTATAAGTCATGCCAATCAAGAATTCTATAAATAGAATCTCATTTCCTCTTGAAAATAGGGGGGAAGAGTCAAGAAAGAAGAAGGAAGAAAGCTCCTGCCATTTAACTCCTCCTTGATAGAGAACGGTCTTTCTGAGGCCCTGATTTCTTTCAAACCACCACTTGAGACCCGAACTTCTACCGGATCACAACCTGGTGCCCAAAGTTCTACCAGAGTACCGCTCTACTACTATGGTCTTTATGACCTCGGTCTCCTGCCGACTACGGTCCTTCCGACCTCCCTCGCCAGACAATGGTCTTTCTGATCCCAGTCTCCTGCCGATTACGGTCCTTCCGACCTCCGTCGCCTACTACGGTCCTTCCGACCTCCCTCTCCAGAGAACGGTCTTTTTGACCCCAGTCTACTGTCGATCGGTCCTTCTGACCTCCCTCGCCAGACAACGGTCTTTCTGACCCAGTTTTCTGCCGACTATGATCATTTTGACCTCCATCACCTGCTACGGTCCTTTCAACCTCCCTCGCCAGACAATGGTCTTTCTGACCCGTCTCCTGCCGACTACGGTCCTTCCGACCTCCGTAACCTGCTACAGTCCTTCTGACTTCCCTCGTCAGTCAACGGTCTTTCTAACCCCTGTCTCTTGCTGACTACGGTCCTTCCGACCTTTCTCGCCAGACAATGGTCTTTCTGACCCCAGTCTCCTGCCGACTACGGTCCTTCCGACCTCCATTGCCTACAACGGTCCTTCCTCCCTCCCTCACCAGACAACAGTATTTTTGACGCTAGTCTCCTGCCGACTACGGTCCTTCCAACCTCCCTCGCAAGACAACAGTCTTTCTGACCCTAGTCTCCTGCAGACTACGGTCCTTCCGACCTTCGTCGCCTACTACGGTGACCTCCTTCGCCAACTATGGTCTTTATGACCCCGGTCTTCTGCCAACTACGGTCCTTTCAATTTCCATCACCTTCTACAGTCTTTCCAACCTTGATCCTATCGACTATGGTCCTGCCAACCAAATAAATATGTCTATGTTGATTATTGTAACTCCCACCATGTAATGCGCTCTATATGATGTACATTTGTAACATCAAGCCAAGGCCTTCTCCCAAGGAAGGACCTCATTTGTAATCAACTGCAAATACTAGTGGATTCATTCAAACTGGGCCAGACCCCATGGTTTTTTGCCCTTTTTCAGAGGTTTCCACGTAAAAATTCTGGTGTCTCTTATAAATGTTGTACCCTCTCTCTTTCATATGATTGTGTGTTAGATCTTCGTACAATGCTAAAATGTTAAACTATATACTTCTCTACCGCCATGAATATTCCAGGATGCAACAACATCAAAGCTAGTAGAGTTGCAACTGACAAAACTGATAAAGGAGAAAATGAGCTTGTTGCAAAAAAAAAAAAGAGTGAACGACATGTTGGCTATAGAGTTGAGGATGAAGCTAGAAGTAGTATGATCAAGGAGTCAACACTTATCATGGATTGCTTGCTATTTTCAAATATCTATCTCGGTAAGAATGGAGCTTTTCATTATCTCCTACTTTTAGGATGGAGGGCCTGTGAGATGCTGAAACCTTTGATGGTGATGATGACCCTTTGATGTCATTTTTTATGTTTTGATAGCAGCATCAGACCTTAAGATTGCAACCAACAAAAGAGTGATGGTTGCTGCAAACTTTAAATCTATGAAAATATTAAGTTTGACAATTGTAACAATAGTAATCTAAAGTTAAAAACCGCAACCAACCTAAATGAGGCGATTGTGAGAGGGTAGAAGGTGGCGATAGGGGCAAGTCTGATGGTAACGAGTGCATGTCTTAAAGGTTGAGCCTATAGCAGACCTAAGGGGGACATCTGTGGGAGGCTTGAGACATTGATAGGAGCGGATGACTGGAGACATTAAAAGGGGGCATCTGTGTCCATGAGCTGCATGTCGTGGCTTGATTGACATTTAGGCTTCGTTTGAGATAGCTTTATTGCTGCTTTCTAAATCTAATGCTTAGTTAAAAAATTTCTTAAATTAGAAAATTTTGTACTAAAAAATTATTTTTGAAAGCAATAAAGAAGCCGTTCCAAATGAAGCCTTAGTCAGTGAAGGACATGACTTAATTCTAAGAAGGGAGATGACTTGATGTCAACGAAGGAGTTAAGTTGATATCTCCAAGAGATAAATCTATCATCATGGTCCTGGTGGTACAACCGGTGTTGCTCAAGAGTTACACCATCTTATAAAGGTGTTCAATTTAATGGCAGTATGGTGTTCAATTTAATGACATGCATTCATTAGAAAGAAATTGAGACTCTACGGGTCTCTCCAACTTTTATAATAGATGGGTGTACTTTATTTGTTTTACTTTATTTTTCTACTTTTTGTTATTTTTTGCTCTTTCTATTCGGTTCTTAAATGACTGATTTTGTAAATTGTTTTTTTCTTTCTGAAGATGAGTAGGACTGCTGTGCTTTATGATGCAAAGTTTGTGGTCAACATTGGGGATCTTGGACAGGATGACCCGCTCATGCAACATGTAATGTTCTAACTGCTAAATGAAGGATAAGTTATGCAAAAACATGTTGATGTAACATCACTTTGAAACTGCTGTAAGAATTCAATCAGACTCTCGATTGTCTGCATTTGCTCTTTGTCACCGATCATCTTGTGCATTTGCAGGCCTCTTTAAATTTCCCCATGCTGAAGATCCCCTGGTATGGAACGTGGAAACCCTTCCAGTGTCTTGATTAGCAATTTTGGTTGCCACTTGGCTATTCTCCTAAATACTCAACTTCAAGCGTCAGTCTGTTTGTGTAAGATATTTGTTCTGAAGTCAACGTACATTCTAATATTCAGTCAAATCTTAATACTTGCAGGTATACTACTACGGCTGGTAATTCTACTTTGGCTTTGTCTGGAAAATCAAAAAAATATTTCTTGAAGAAGATTAAGATAGCTTATGACCAAACACTTGACATTATTGGAATTGAAACTGGACTGTTCCAGGTAATAGGATACTAGCATTTTCATAATGTATTCAGTTGATTATTAATGATATATCTATTAAGGGGAGATATTTTTAAAGACTTGACATATAATTTTGAAATGTCTTCTGAATTATAAACTTGGTGTCAATGAAAGAAACTGTACAAATGCTCTTAACATGTACGAATGCTCAGCCGGTCCGGGTCTTCTCCAGGCAGAAACGGAACAGGGGGGAGGCGGAAGAGGGAAAGGGCCAAGGGGTGGGGTCCACTTGCAATTCAAACATGGTTTAAGTGTTTTTGGAGGGAGAAGGAAGGGTAGAGAGGTCCTTTTGCTTTTGTTTTGAATTAGATTGTATTAAGAGGGAGTTAACCTAGGTTTGAGTTTTTCATGTTGATTTTGAATGTGATTTGGGAGAGAGCTAGTTTTTCTTTATGGCTCTAGGCTACGGCTAGAGATTTGGAGAGTTATTCCTTCCTCTCGAATCGAAGGAAACTTGTATATTTCTTGTCTTTTGCATCGACTAGTGAAATTCAATCATTTGCTATTATTTTTTCCTATTTTCCCTACGAGTTCTCTCAGATTTTTCCACTGTTTTTGTGTTTGGTGGCTGTTTTCTCATGTAGAAAACAGCGGATTTGTTGCGATTTGGCTTAGATCCAATAGGAATCACTTGAAATACTCAAGTGGTACCTATCACATATCCTTTCTTTCTATGTTATGAAATTTTAGCTCATGTGTTACTTGTGTGCTATATTTTCTTATACTTGCGAATTTCATCAACATTTTGTAGAGCATTTCATAGTGATTGAATACTCACACGATCCATACTATTTTTAAGATGTCCTGATTAATATTCATAGAAATTTAAAATATGCTATAGCACGCATGAGTATAGCGGATTTACTCATCGCTGATTTGTCTTGATGCTCTAAGGATTTCACGCGCCTGGAGGAAATGAAGGAATCTGAAAGTGCTCAGTTGTATTGGATGCATCAGATATTATCTGTGACAGACAGTAAATGGTTTTCCTTCATGCTTTAAATAGTATATGGCAAATTGAAAATTATTGAGCTTTTTACCTTCCAGTCAACATTGAATGCTGATATTAATTCTGATTACAATTTTAGCCTTTTTTTCTGTTTCTATTTGTTTCTTTAGTCAAATGCACCAAGTTCTTTGCTTTATATATATTGCGCAATCTATTTTTCTTACTTTGAATGGTGGTCTAATTATTAAAGTGGTAGCCATATGCTCATCTTAATTCTCTCTAATCATATTTGCATTTGTTATGGAATGAGCAGGAATAAAAATAGGACTTGATCCACTAATTACAACTATAATTGATCTCATTATTGTCCACTCCAGTGACTCCATCATTGTAGCTATCTCCTGTGTTAGTCTGGCAACGTGATTAGCTAGATTTGGTTAGCCATTGATTTACTTTATTTCGATTCTATTTATTCCTTTCTTGACTTTCAAAGTGTTGGGGCTGGCTGGATTTTGTAGCAGCAGTGCAACAACAGAGTTGTAACAAACATAGTAACAACAAGAACATCAGCAACATCGACAACTAGCAGGCAACTGATAGGAAATACTTGAGTTCGCAAGTAACCCTGAGGGAAATACTTGAGTTTGCAAGCAAACATATTTCTAATTGGTGAAAACAGCAAGAATAATGCAAAATCTGTGTGAAATCAGTCCCAAAACTATGGATTGCAATATGAGAATCAAAGCTAAAAAACACGAAAACAAGATACAAGAGATCCTCAATTCGAGTGGAGGATCGTCTCTCCCAAATCTCTAAACAAGGTAGTCTAGAGCCCAAGACTCCAAGGAAGTTCAAGAGAAATTCAAAATCCAGCATAAAACCATAACCCTTCCCCAAAAGAAACTAATTAAAGACAAAGGACAATTACAAATTTCCTAAACAGCCTCCTAATTTAAAAATTCCCTCCAAAGCAAATTTAATTAGCATGTGGGCCCTCTAGGAGCATCCGCCCCGCCCTCTCTCTCTTCCCTGGTTCCGCCCAGCTTGGGCTGCCTGCTATAGGTAAAAACCAGTCCACTAGGGACCGGTTCAACCGGCCCAGGAGGGGCCGGCCTAATAGCAACACAGTAAAATAGTGGCTACAAAATAGTGTCCTGGCAATAGCAGCAACAACAACAACAACAACCCGTTGCTTCAATAGTAATAAACCATCAACATTGCTACAAGAGTTTAACAGAAAGGAAGCGAGATAACTAGCGACTAGCATCACAAGTGGAGGCAAGAAGCAGCAAGCTAGTGGCTACAACAATGGTACCCAGGTTCGAGTTCTTGTGGACTGGGCAATTCGGCTAAGAGGACAAGAGGGAATAGAAAATTAATTAGGGGAATTCTTGTTGATTTGTTGCTGAATTCTAGTTTTTTAAATAGACAATTTGATGTAGAACTACGTATGGATGCAATGAATTTATTAAGATCTTGTACAACTCTTGATTAGAGAATAGCGACAACAACTATAAGCATTTAAAACAACGACATAAAACATAAGAGGGGTCACGCCTGCTTAGGCTAAATCACATAACCAGAGATATGAAACTTCAAAATAAATTAGAAAACAACATCATGCCAGAATAGTAGCTTCAATAAAAATCCCTAATCTAACAACGAGATTAGCAAGCACATGAATACGCTCAAAATTCTACGTTTACTAAGCTTAGCAGAAGCAAGCAACGGTCGGCCTTCGTGACTACAATCAAACCACGAGAAAAGTTAGATTCAAGAAATAAGAGAAAAGGGGAACGTAAGAAACCTTCGTCAAGGATCGGTGGCGATCCTCCACTCGACGATCTCCAATTGTTCTTCGATGGCTTCCACCAAGGTATCCAAGATTCGCTCGATGTAATCTTCCACCGTGTGGTCGACCCTCGGGTGGACGTCGAAGAAGGTTGAATGTAAGATGCCCACAAACCCGTGTTCGTCATAGGAGAGGCCGTATTCAGTTTATGGATCAGCCATCCATAAAAGCTAGATGATGAAGTCTTCCCAAGGATTGCTAGCACTCTTGAATACTGTTGAGGAGAAATAAGTTTCTCTTCAACTTGAATGGGGTAGGAGCCAAGGAGCAATTTCCCTTCCAAAATTTGAATTTAGTTTCAAAATTTTGAAAGTGGAAGATGGGAAATCAAGAGGGAAATCTCAATTCCTAAATTCCGGTGAGGAGTTAATGAGAGAGTGGGGGGGGTGGCGCTGATGGAATCATGAGAATGGAGTTAAGATTTATTTCCCAAATCCAATATTTGGTTTTAGGAAATAAATTAGGAGCAAGGGGATTTGATAAAATTCGGCCAAGGGGGGTGGGGTGATATTTAGAAAAACTTCCAAGAGGGGCTAGAGGGGAGTTAGGAAATAAATCTCAAGTTTCCCTATAGGGGGGCTGACGACATACATGAGGTAAGGAGTAATTAATGGGGGGGGGATTAAGGCTCCTTAATTTAGTTTTATGAATTAGGAAAGCAATAAATTAAATCCAATTCGAATATAACATTTAAATTGATTTAAATTAAGTAATTTCCTTAAATAGATGAATTAAGTTAGGAAAGAATTTTGAAATTCAAATTTTAGATGATTTGAATTTCAAATTGTTTCCAAATTGCATTCACCAAATTAAGAAACCCAAAGATGAAGGGGAAAGTAGTGGGGCCGGCAGCTAGGGGTTGGGGTCAGCGGGTGAGGGAGGGATTGGTGTGGGGAAATTGGGTGGTGGGAAGATGAATCGAGAGGGGAGGTTAGGTGGCCGGCGGCAAGGAGTGGATGGACCTTGGCCAACGGCTAGATGGAGGGAGATGGGGTGAAGTAAGACGACGATAGGAAACCACGAACCCGGCCGTCTCCAAGTTTGGTGGGTGATGTGCCGATCTCCCTCTCCAAGGAATCTCTCTCCGTTCTCCCTCTCCAAGGGATCTCTCTCCGATCTCTCAAGCTCTCTCAAGAACTCCAACAATAAGATAAAATTTCTCCAATAATCATTCATTAACCTCAAAAGAAAATAGGGAGGGCTATATAAAGCCTCATACAAAAGACTTAAAGACAAAAGACACTAATGCCCCTTAGGCTTACATACGACATCCCTTCATAAGAGGGTACAAAGGGAAACTAAAGAAAGCAAATAAAATACGATAATATAATTAAGAAAATATATAGGATAAATAAAAAATACAATGACTCAATCGTGACCGTAGAACAACGGCCACGCCTCTAATAAACCTTCCATGATCTGATGTTCCCATCACAATTATAGCGGAGATCGATCTAATTCAGTTATAGAAATGCCACCAAAAGAAAAAAATACTATTTATAATAACAGTTTAGATAAGTTCAAAATTAAAAAATAATTTGAGCTGGAAATTTTCCTAATTCTGGATTACAAATTCAATATTAAGGTTGCTCTAACATATTAAAAAAAACTGTACTTATTCATATCTGTAGTAATCTGAATTTTAATCAAACAATTCAATTTTTTTGGGACCTTAATATCTCTTGTATGGCATCCAATTGATTGTTTGATTGCGCCCATGAACTCTTTGCGACATATTTTTTTAATCTTTACAGTATGCTTTGAGAATCATCACTATTGGCAATTTTAAGAAAGTGGCTAATTAAAATTTCTATGAACATAAATTTTTTTATCTTTCCAAGGCATGATGCCCAAGTTGTGTCGTAGATGATAGGATGTATCAACTTCCTTTTTTTTTTTTGTAGAAGATCTCATGAATGATCTATTAGATCTGCTCAATAGATCAAACATTTGTTTTATTAATATGTTCTAAATCAATTCTCCTGGTACTCAATTACTTATCTCTGATGATGCACAGACACAGACATGACGATACGGACACGGGACATGTCAATTATTAAAAATATAGGATATGGACCGGGGTTGGACATGGTATTATAATTTTTATAACTTAAAAATAGTACATAGAAATTAAGTAAGATAATATTAATAATAATTGAGAAATAATAAATCATTTAACTAGAATTTATGCTTAAAATAATTAGTATTAGATGCCAAGAGTTGGACGTCGATGTTGTGCTTCAAGCGTTGAGAGTGGAGACGACAATGCTGTCAAGAGTCGAGCGTCGAGCTCCAATGTCGAGACAACGTCTGTCATATATGTTGAGTTGTTGTTGGTCAAAGATGAGATGTTGAGACAACACAAGGGTTTGATTGTGGGGGTAGAAATTGTTAGTGTCAAACTTTGATTTTTAGATTGTTTTGAAACGTTGATGTTGTAACAGGGTTGAAAGTTGATGCTGCGATGGCATTGGACGTTGTTGTGGAACCCTAATTGTGATCTGTAGATAGAAATGAAAGTGGTATGCTCAGGGAATGGGGTATTGAGTGCGGACAATTGACTTGAGGCTGTTGTGAGGAAATAAACTTTTTTTTAATAAATAAAAAATTTGAAATATAAGAAATTATATTAAAAAATTCATAAAATATTTAAGACACGCGTGTCCAATTTATTTTTGATTTTTTTAATTAGACACGTCTTCTGCATGTTCGATAAGTATCGAAGGAGTGTCGGACGCATATCGTGTGTCCGATATATGTTGGACACTATATACCTTATTAAGGAGAAATGTAGCTTATCTCCTTAAGATTAGTAAAAATTACACCTTTAAACACACTCTCTTTCTAATTGCTCTCTATATTTTTAATTCATTTCCTTAGCACAAAATTCACCTCGTTAGTGGATCTTCCTAACATATTGGCATACATTTTCTAGCCTATATTCCATTCCTCTCAACCATAACTTCATCTTATGACCCATAGGTTCAATTATCCTTATACTTATAGCTATCCTAAGCATCTCTAGTTTAGATATCTGCAGCAAAATATTTTTTTCAATCAGTTGATATCCTCTTTCTCGTTGAAGTCATTGAAAAAGTTAAAATAATAATACATACAACTTATCAAAAATCAATAAGTATATTTTTATCCGAACCTAAAGTTTTATTTATGTCCATCCTCTTTAGAGTTAAGTTCATATATTTTGGATCAATCTAATGAGAATATTTATTTTTCACAATTATCATTTAATTATTTTTTTAGCATTATGTTCTTTAATTGATATTTTCATCTTTTACCATGGCCTATTCACCTTATCGCATCAAGATCTTAAAATTTATTTTAGAGGTTAACTCTCTTATGTAATTTTGAATGACAGAAATAAAACCAGTTTCTTTTCAATTTCAGATAAGCAGTTTCTAGAAACTTATATCATATTGTGATCTTAGTACTTCATGTTTACAAGAATATTTTTCACTTCAAATCATTTGTAATAATTTTGAACTCTGTAGCTTCCCTACTAAACCTCTAAAGAAGAACCTTTCTTTGTAATCTATTGCCAAAATCATTGCAGGCGCATAGTTGTAGGATTTCATCCACTGATGGTCTGCCAAGAGAAGCATACGCAGAATTCAATAGTGTTTTATCAGCCAATTCATCAAATATTTCTGAATTATGGAGTGGTATGCAGAGGCTTATTATTTTGTTTGAATCTTCAATTTAACAAACGATATTATCTGTAACTTATAGCTATTCGTTTGGTGAAAAACTCTTCAGGATGCCTACTTGAGCCAGCTGGGTTGCGCTGGGCAACATTATAACATTGGAGGCATAGCTTACTTGGGCAACCCTGGGCCTATACTCCAAGAGCAAATTCCTTTCTCAGAAACTGGAGATTTTAATATTGTCAAGTGAGAACTTCTCTATCTGAGGCTTCGTTTGGGACGGCTTTCTTACTACTTCCTAAAGCAGTTTTCTAGTACAAAAATTAAATTTTTTGTAATTTTTGTATTAAAAAGCTGCTTTAAGAAGAAGTAAGAAAGCCGTCCCAAATGAAGCCTAAATCTGTGTCAGTTAGTGTGTCAGAGGTGGCTAAATTTGGGTTAGATACATCAATTATCAAATGTGTCTTCTTTTTCAGTGAAAGATCTGAAGGGTTTCTTCTTCACCGCGTAACTCCCTTAGAGATAGTAAGTACCTTACTCTTTGAAACTTTTTGGTCGAGTATCTGAATTAAAAACTTAGGCTTTGTTTGGGACGGCTTTCTTACTCCTTAAAATAATTTTTTTATAAAAAATTAAAATTTTGGCACTAAAAAGTTGCTTTAAAAAGTAAAAAGAAAGTCGTCCCCAACGAAGCCTTAATGAATGATTATTTTGCACATAGAAGAAAGAAGAATTTTCTGCACCACAGAGGCCCTAATCCTGTAATTAAACTTAATGAATGATGTTTGTGGCAGGAATCCTACTTCATTAATTTAGCCGGCATGGTGGTTTCCATATCAAAAATTCATCAACAAGGAAGAGGAGTTATGTGAAAGATAGCAAATGGAGGCTTCGGCTGTATATTATTCAACAATTTATTTACTGTAACTATTTATATTTAGTTGCCTATTGCATAACTTCATTTGTCCTCAAATTAAAGGTTCAGTCAAGAAAATAGGAGTTGATTAAAGCTTCGTTTGGGACGGCTTTCTTACTACTTAAAGCTGAACGAAGCCTAAGGGTTAGTTTGGGACAATTTTTTTACTTTTTCATTTTTTCAAACTGCAACAACAATATCTTTATAATCACTTTTAAAAAAGATTATAGTCATCCCAAATGGATATTAAGTTGCAAGTTTTTTGTTTATTAATTGGTTAGCAGGATGTCATCTTCAACGGTATATTCTTTATTTTTGTGACTTGTAAGGTACCATTAAAAATCATCTTGTTGACCCTGCTTTTAGCACATTTGCCTACGAGCATGCTCAATTGACTCGGTTGGACCGTGCTGAGCCTAAATTGATTCAAATCGATGCCGATCCGGGTCTTATTGCATTGATCGAGTTAAGTGTCGTTAAATTGACTCAATCATAACCTATTGAACTCAAGTCAGCTCAAATTGGATCAAAATTAGACCTGACAAAGTTCAATTAAGCTTGTTCGATGCCCTTTGGCACTGTCGAACACAATTTAATGCAATTTGACGTCGAGTTGAGCGTAATTTTAATAAATTGACATAAATGACGTGTATTAAATCCAAATCGATGCGAGTTTCATCAAACCAAGCTCGATTCAAACCCAATTTAAGTCGATTTGACTCAATCGAACTCAAATTAAATCAGATTGTAACAATTTGAATTCAATTTTCTTAAATCAGCTCGAACGAGCCAAATGGAGGGCGAAGTGAGCCAAATTAAGTTCAATTTGGACTCAATTGCAACAAATATGAACCCAGTTGACTCGGGTTGAAATCCAGAGCATTTCTCAAGCAAATTTGAATCATTTCCAGATCAAGAACCAAACGAATGATGGGATTTGTTTTACTTTTGAAATCTTGCACGTCTTCCCGTAAAATCTCGTAGCAGCAGACGCTTGGCAGAAGAAATCTTTCCAAATTCGTGAAGCGAGTTGCTGGACGTTGGCGTTCTCGGCTCCAGTACTTCCCTTCTATTCGATTCTTTCTGTCGCGGGCATGCTTTCTCTTTAGCCGATAGGGCAGATGGTAGTAAGTGCTTCTTCCTCAAGATCTTGAAAGGAAGTGCTTCTTCCTCTCATTCAAGATCCGACATTTGTTATCAGAGCCTGATTGAGGCAACGGAGTAAGATCGAAAATGAGGAGGAATGTGTTCTGTCCAAGAAAGGGGAGAAGAAGGGTGTTTTTACGCAATTTCTCCGGTGCTTCGATTTTGATCGATTTATTCGGTGAGTTGCGGCGGCGACTGTGGGAGGATTTGGAGGCAGTGCCGCTGTCATCAGGTGTGGAGAGAGAGAGGCCTCTAGCTTCTGGGAATGGAGAAAGGTGGTCGTGAATGCTTCCTGAGTTGATGGTGGATGATAGGGAGGGTGGTAGTGAGTGAAGAATGTTGGGCCCTGTGGAAGAACGTGGTTTCCCGCACTTGCGAAAGCCGGAGGAATGGGGTTCCGATTTTTGTGATGCTTCCATTGGATATGGTGAAACTAGGGCGGTCATCTAGGCGACATTGGTAGATTGGACGACGGAGGTCGCTTGGATCAGAACTATAGATGGAGGCAGAAGGGTCGTTCGTGCCGCTTCGCATGTGTGATTGATGGACAGAGGATAGGCAATCAAACAGAAAGAGATCAAAAAAGCCAAAGGAGTTCGATGGCTTGCTCGTACATTCAGGAGAAATGCATGAGGTGCAAGTGAGGTTCGTTCGCACAGAACAGAGGCGATTCGATCTGGGATATGGCTGAATAGCAGAATCCCAAGAAGGCTCAGCTTGCGGATTGGGTCGGACGGCATGAAAGCTTTGTCGGATGAGCGGGTCGGGTCCGGTGTGCAAGTGTTCACGTAATGAAGCTCGGAGTCGGAGCCTGTGCAGGCTATTTGGTGTCATGGATCTGTTGTTGCCGGAATCAAGAAGTACATTCTTGATCAAGAAATCATGAAGGGAGGTATTTGCAGGCGTGGCTTGATGCCGTGCAGGTTAGATCAGTAGAGGCACTGCATACGACGTGCAGTGGAAGGGGGCAGGTCGACGTGTGGATGCGCAAGGCGCATTGAGAAGAGGAGGGCTCGAGCATTGCGCAGGGTTCGGTTCCTGGGTGGATACGCGCAGTGTGCGATCGGAGTCATACTGCATGTGCACATGGCATGAGGCGAGAGGCGCAGGCATGCATGGGGCACAGGACTGTGGCTAGACGCATGTGCTTGTGAGCTAGGGCTCATGAAGCAGGAAACTAAAGAAGTTGGTGGTGTAGTTCTTGAGGAGTTGTTATTCGTCCAATGGATGCAATTGTCGGGGAAGACTGGCAGGGATGTTCTTTGTGGACATCATATATCATTCTTTATTGTGTAAATCTAAGAGCAAGGTAGAGATTGTTGATATTGGTTCAAGATTTAGATAGTTTCTCCTTGTGTAGATTTTTATGTTGCTATTTGTTACCTATAAATAATCTATAGGTTGTAATAGGAGGTATAGTTAAACAATAAAGAATTTGAATACTACTATCTCCCTCCTCTCTCAAGATCTTGAAAGGAAGTGCTTCTTCCTCTCATTCAAGATCCTACACATCACCTGTGGGTCTTGTCGTTGATCTCGCTCCCATCGTATCTGGTCGATCTCCTCCATAACAGCATGCATATCTTCCTCTTCTTCCCCTTTTTCTTCTTCCTCTTGTTTTCTTCTTCTCGTTTTAGTTCTCTACCATTTTTTTCTTCTTCTTCACTCACATCCCCATTTTCTTCTTTATCCACATCTATTCCTCCTCCTTCAATCCACTCTTCCTCCTACCCTTCTCCTTTTTTTTATGCATTATTTTGTTAAATGAAGTTGTCGAATGTATGGGTGCTATACAATATGCATTATGATAGCTTTGATGTTCCAATCCCTTCTTTGTAAGATTGTTGTGGATACATACTTGTTGTAGATGACTTCATTATGGAAGGAGCTTGATTATTTGTGTTGTTGTAGCATTTTTCTGGGTTTATTTATTTTAACATGTTGTTATGGCTCTTGCCCAATATCAATGATTAATACACTTAAAAAAAGAGTATGGATGGAGCTTATATTCTTTTATTATCGTGAGTGATTGTAAAGCATGATCTTCAAATCGATTTATTTCATGTATTTCGTAGTGTTGCATGTCAGTTACTCGATGGAATGCCATCTTTTATCAAGTGTGTGAGAAATGTTTGTACCAATGTCCACCATGAAATAATACAACCTTTGACTATGCTAAGATTGCGAGTGAGTAGATTCATATTTTACATTATATACGTTTCTAAAATTATATATATATATATATATAGCTTATATTTTTTCATGCAAGAATCCATATGCAAGTCATTTTATGATTAGTTTGGAAAGGCTCTAATACATACCTATGTGTGCCTCATTCTATAAATGACAATTATATGTATAACATCCATACAATTTGATCATGAATTAATGATATGATTTATGATTGAGTAGAAAAAAATTATATATGAATTCATGTCATGCTTAGTGAAGTCCAATATTTGGGAGATATTTGCGTTGCAAGATCATACTTCAATGTTATGTGTATATTTTATATCAAGTGAACTTACAAAGTTGTTGAAGAATCTCCCATGCATGTGGTGAGCAATATACCCATCTTAGTGTGTCACCTATTTGGCCTTATCCCAAGTCTTAGATGATCAAGGAAGAGTTAACAGATCTTGCCACCTCATAATTATTTCAACCTTGATTTGGTGTTGGATTGAGGATGAGTCACTTGTCCCTTAATTTTTTATAACTTTAGTATAAGTTAGGGCCCACGTATTTGGATTCTTTATAATCTAATAATCAAATTATAACTATAAAATTAAATATTAAGTAATTCACCTAAAATAACTAAAAACTTAAAAGAAAAATGAGGGCTAATAAATTAAACAATATGAGTTGTATCTTATAACTTGAAGCTCTCACCAATCTGGGGTAGTTAGGTACACTAATTTTTACACACATTCAGGTGTTGGATATGACACTTTTTCATAGGCATCTTAGGGTAGGGTGTAATTATGATAACATTTTCTACTTTTTTTTCTTTTACATTTTATATGTGATGATGAGATGATGTGTTTTTGGCTTAGCTTGTTTATAGTTGCTTTTTTTTCTTATTTTGCGGATCGATAAGTAGGCACTTGCCCTTAAATGATTATATATTTATAGATATATTTTCTACAGGTGATCACGTTCCTAAGAAGCAAATAAAAAATGATGTCATAATTGTTATAAATATGCTTATCTAACATGTATCACAAGGAATGCTAAGCCTTTGGGAATGTGGCCATAAGGACTAGATTTGGATGTTCATATTGTGACTATTATTATAGTAGTGTTAAGATATTTTTTGTAAGGTGATTATGTAATTTTTATTTTCAAAATATAATTTAGGTATGACTCAATTGCATTCTTAGTATTATTTATTCTTTGATGATTGGTGTGTTTACTCTGATTGTACATTAGAATTGCATATTTTTTTTAGGTTTCTTATTATATTTTACATGGGGGTAGCACAGACGAAGTCCTCGTTGGGTTCTTAAGATGTTAAATTTTCTATAAAGTTAAAATTTTTTCTTTAAATAAGATAAAAATGAACATAAGATCTAAATCAACTCATTTTTCAAAAACAAATATATAATCCATTGTGGATCAATTTTTAAATTGTAATTAATATCTCAAACCCTGTTAAATTCACTATAACTATCAGTTAGTTCTGATTAGCCCTACCTACGTATGCATAGCTTGAGTCAAAGTATATAGATTTTCTTTTACAACATAGATAGATAGTTCACCTTGCATATCATAGTATCATTCATAGTCGGGCTTGATGCTCATCTCCCTTCTGTTCCTCCCATCACTCTTGCGCTTGATGCTCATCTCCCTTCTGTGCTTCCAACCACTCTTGCATGTACATGAGATTGGATTTTATGGATTTGATACCCTAGGTGGAGTTTAGCTGGTATCTCTTTCCGAGCAGAGTGATAAATCCATGTCGGGGCTACCTAGATCCTTGATAGGTTATAAGTCCCATCGCGGTGTCTTGGATTAGTTAGGTTGTGTGCATTAGTACCAAGTGTACAATACATATTTTATAGATCTATGATCAAAGGCTGACGGTATATGTATCATTATATGCCTTATCATTAGGTAGGTTCTCTATTCTTCGGAGGCTATAAATCTCACACATCCGCATTACACTGATGGTGATGCTTCCATTTTTCTCTCACGTATGCTTGGTATGAGAGGACCCCTTTCCAGATTTCTCCTCTTTGGATTGGTCGAGTGGCTATATGATCTATGCATGTTGAATAGCCTGATTGAGCCAATATTACATTGGATTAAGAAAGCTTATATATTTTACCATGTGCAAAACCTAGAAGAGAATAATTATGCTGATGGGAAACTGACACCCACATCAAATAACCTCATTCGAGCTTATGTATCAGATGGAAAAAATTGCATGACTATCGATCGAGTTATGCATATTATTATCAATTAAGTTGTATATGCAAAAGCTACTATTCTCTATGGATAATCGTATGTATAACTCTATTTGCTCTGTCATTGGCTTGATTGCATATAGCGTGAAGGACTACAACTGTTTTGTCCTATATATTGCGATCATACCCTTTGCATCTTAACTCGATAAGCAACATCCTTGCGAAGACCCGCACATATTTTTTTGGTTATTTATCATGTATACCCTGCGTTGTGCTACTAGCTTGGATTTTTCTATTTTTGAAAGGATAAATGTCATTTTTCATCTAACTAAATTTTAATAT